TTGCGAACGGGTAATTGAACAGTAAAGTAGCCGTCCTTTGTTCTCGGGGGTGGCCGCCATTCGACAAACGAACACGTGGCGGCGGCCATTTTAAAACTCCCAAACAGCGGTGTTTTGCCGTCGAGTGTCTGGAACTAAAATCGGACACTCGAGTAGGTGAACACCGCTGAGACCTCCACAGCCCTTGTCCATTCGGTTCCAAACTACCGAACAGCCCCTCGTTCGGTAGATAGAGAATACCGAACGAGGGGATTCAGGCGAACCCTCCCTAGCCTCTATAGCTAAAGGTTTTCGTGTATTTTATTCCCTTATGCCAGGACCGACCGCAGGGCCCATTCACATGGAACCGAATTCGGCTATCTCAGTTCGTGCGGTCGGTCATTTTATTCCCCCCATACTTTTCCCGAACCCCTGGTCTGATCTGGGTGATTTTTGGATATGTTGTTCACCCAGATCAGGGCTACCAGGGGATGTAGGATTTAAAGAGGTATCCCTACGTTTAGGGGTACATCCAGAAACGGGGGGAATTGGTGTACTGGATAAGGGGATTATGATGCTGGCTGAGGGGAGGAGATATGTGGGAGGTTACCAGGACAGGATTGGCTACTGTAATAATTACTGTAAATCCCTCCCTTGCATGGGAGCATACTTTATAAGGAGACTGTGATTAAAGGCTTGTCAGTTCTGCTCCTGAAACTGTGTGTCGTCCAGTTATTGGGATTGCTGTGGGGATATTGCTGTATTTTACTTGCTGGAAACCTTGCCTTTGGATTTATTATTTACTTGTTCCTGAGCCTCACTTGGATTACATGCGGAGATAACCTGGGGAATATTGCATCTCCGCTACAGAGCGTTCGCATGATTTAAAATGGCCGCTGCCTCGTGGTCGACATACGAACGACGACCACCCTGAGTTCGGTTTAATTGAGAAGTGTCTGCGGTTAACCACAACGTTCTAATGGGGATCACTTTGTTAACCAGCAGCACACTCCTCACTTGGGTGGCCGTTCGTTCGGCAGATTTGTTCGGGAAAAAGAGTCATTCGAATGGCTGGGCTATAGAAACCAGCCATTCATACGAACGGGGGACAAACAGACGAACGGGCAAAAAATCCAGCAGACAGATGGTTCTGTCACACTCCTTCATAAAATTGCTCCAGCAGTACCATTTGCAATACATCCTCCATAGACCGTGCCTTGCTCGCTTGCACCCACCCCAAGACTGCTCGTTGTAGTCTGCATGCCCACTCAGCATGTGAGTCTTTCTCCACCTTCTTTAAATCCCTGAATCTCCGCCGGTATGCTTCTGGTGTTCTGGCCAATATAATTTTTCACTTTGTGGTAATTCCGTATTTCATCATTAGGTACAGTACGGTATGCCTCAGCTGCCCTCCCAGTTAACCTCCCTGCCAAAATAGGTACCCAGTCCTCTGCGCTGATTCTATGCAGTGCACACAGTCTCTCGAAATCTTGCAGAAAAGCGTCTATATCTTCCTCTGCCTCCACATATGTTTTAAAAGCCTGGTATGGTATTTTCGGCTTACCTTCTTGTGGCATATTTACTGCAGAGCTGCGTTCTGGAGCCGCTGTTTGACTCCTCAGTATAAATTCCTGGACCTCCGTCATCGTTTTGGAAACAATCTCTGTTGGAGGGTGTTCCCCATAGAAAGACAGCCGAAATTGTACCTGCCTCTGGAACTCCCTTTGTTCCGGTGTTTCTCCCGAATTCCCCTGTTCGGGAACCGAATCGCCGTCCCTTCGGTACTCCGCCATCAGTTCAGTGATGAGTACCGCTTTTGTCTTATTGCTGGCTTGTATACCCCTTGCCTCCAGAAGGTCTTTTAGCGTGGAGCGTTTTAGTGTGGCAAAATCAATCTCCATCCGTACTCCATTTAGGCTTGTTCCTCTGTGAGTCTGGATCCCAGCACTGCCAACCAATGTAGCGGAGATGCAATATTACCCAGGTTATCTCCGCTTATAATCCAAGTGGGACTCAGGAACAAGTAAATAATAAATCCACAGGCAAGGTTTCCAGCAGGTAAAATACAGCAATATCCCAACAGCAATCCCAATAACTGGACGACACACAGTTTCAGGAGCATAACTGACAAGCCTTTAATCACAGTCTCCTTATAAAGCATGCTCCCATGCAAGGGAGGGATTTACAGTAATTATTACAGTAGCCAATCCTGTCCTGGTAACCTCCCACACATCTCCTCCCCTCAGCCAGCATCATAATCCCCTTATCCAGCACACCAATTCCCCCCATTTCTGGATGTACCCCTAAACGTAGGGGTACCTCTTTAAATCATACATCCCCTGGTAGCCCTGATCTGGGTGAACAACATATCCAAAAATCACCCAGATCAGACCAGGGGTTCAGGAAAAGTATGGAGGGAATAAAATGACCGACCGCACGAACTGAGATAGCCGAATCCGGTTCCATGTGAATGGGCCCTGCGGTCGGTCCTGGCATAAGGGAATAAAATACACGAAAACCTCTAGCTATAGAGGCTAGGGAGGGTTCGCCTGAATCCCCTCGTTCGGTATTTTCTATCTACCGAACGAGGGGCCGTTCGGTAGTTTGGAACCGAACGGACCAGGGCTGTGGAGGTCTCAGCGGTGTTCGCCTACTCGAGTGTCCGATTTTAGTTCCAGACACTCGACGGCAAAACACCGCTGTTCGGGAGTTTTAAAATGGCCGCCGCCACGTGTTCGTTTGTCGAATGGCGGCCACCCCCGAGAACAAAGGACGGCTACTTACTGTTCAATTACCCGTTCGCAACAATGTTGCAACGGGTAATTGAGGACACACTTCACACAGGGAGGTCGGGTTGTTCGGTAGTTTCATTCGAATAAACTAAGGGAATGAAACTACCGAACAATCAGAGGAATACAATTCTTTTTAATACATAGAAAATACAGCAGATACACGAATGCAGGTTTATACAGTATATTTGTAGGGTCGCCTGGTGCCATCCGCTACAACCGTCTCCACATTGCCCGGGTTCATCTCAACTGGGGAGCTGGATCCGGTACGGTACAAGTGGGAATAATGGGGGGGTACAAATGGGAATTCCTGCTGGGCAATGACCTTGGGCCTCTCACCTCAGCCTATACTCCTACCGCAGACGCTCATCCAGTCACCACCCGTGCCCAAGCCTGCAACGCAGAGAACAACCCACTGGTTGTGGAGACCCAGGTAAGAGATACTGACCCCTTGACTAAGACACTAGCTATGACGACCCTAGCCTGGGATACCCCAGAGGATTTTGGTATGGAGACTAGGGCTGACCCCTCCCTCCAAAAGTATCACCTTAGGGCAGAGACAGGTCAGCCAGGTTCAGAGGGGGAAAAATATGTATGGGAGAAGGACAAGCTTTACCAGGTATTGGACAACCATCACCCTGGGGCCGCCCCTTCGCAGAGGTACCAGTTGGTAGTTCCCAGGAAGTACCGACGGGAACTTCTCCGAATAGGGCACGACATCCCCTTAGCCGGACATTTGGGGATAACGCGCACATCTCACCGAGTAACCCAGCACTTGTTTTGGCTGGGGGTCTCCACAGATGTGCAACATTATTGCCGGACCTGCGATGATTGCCAGAGGGTGGGAAAAATGGAGGCTCACCCTAAGGCAAAGCTGCTATCCATGCCCATAATAGAAGAGCCCTTCAGCGGGATAGCAGTTGACCTGATCGGGCCCCTCAAACGGCCTAGTCCCTCCGGTAAGAGATTTATCCTTACCGTAATAGACTATGCCACCCGCTATCCCGAAGCTGTCGCCCTGTCCAATATTCAGGCGGACACTGTGGCTAATGCCCTGGTCGGGATATTCGCTAGGGTGGGCTTCCCGAAGGAAATCCTATCCGACCAAGGGACTTTGTGGAAAGTCTGCCAGATCAAGTCTCTACTTAGCTCCTGTCACGTATTCATCCGCTTATAGAAATGTGGTTAATGACATTTACTGTCCACACAGGAAAAGTTGTGCCGAGCAGCAACCTAATCCACAGAAGGGTTAATGCTGAGCAGCAAGTATGCAAATGAAACCTGGTAACTGACTTTGGGGTCAAAGGCTGGTTACAGCCTATCAGAAAGAAAGGAGGGGTATTTAGGCCCAGTTCTCAGCCTGCTCAGTGCCCTGTTATGGTTTCCCTTGTGGTTGTCCGAGAGTGCGTTGCTGTTTATAGTTTTCTACCTGGTTTTTGACTTTGGCTTTGTTTATTGACTTCTCTATATTCTGGTATCCTGACTCCTGGCTTTCCTCATCGCTGTGTCCCTTTCTGTGTTCCCTGACCTCGGCTAGTATTTTTGACTATTCTTTGTACGTTAAATCCGGCCATTCTAAGGACCGGTAATACGTTACTTATTTGTCATCCGTGCTGTACAGTTCTACGTGCTGGATCAAACAGTAATCCTGACATTACGACATGGCCATAGATCCTGTAGAACTGTGTCAGCACATAGCTGCTTGCGAGAGGAAATTAGAGGAGAATGATCACCGCATGGATCAATTCACTCAGGCTTTAAGTACGCTTCTCGCTAGAACGGAGCATCTGCAGCCTGCAGCGTCTCCTCCTATAGCACCTCTACCCTGTGTACCTCCACCCACTGTTAATATGACTCCTAGCATCTCCTTATCACCATCCCTACAGTTTGATGGCAATATCCAGGAATGCAGGGGTTTTCTTAATCAGGTGGAGTACCATTTTGAGGCCTCACCAGGGTCATTCCCCACGGACAGAGCAAGAATTGGTTATCTAATGAATCAATTAAAGGGCAAGGCCCTTGCCTGGGCTAATCCGTTGTGGGAGAGTAATCGGAGCATAGCTCATAATTACCAGGAATTCCTTGCCGAATTCAAGCTCACGTTTGAGCCATTGGGTAGAGAGGATGACGCCTCCACTGCCCTAATGCACATCAGACAAGGTAACCGGTCTATCTCGGATTATGCTATTGAATTCCGTACCTTAGCTTCCGAGGTAGACTGGACTAACAATGGGTTAATCTCAGCATTCAAAAAGGGTCTCTCAGAGACTATACTAGATGAGATAGCCGCTAAAGAATTACCTAAGAGTCTTAACGAATTTATTACGTTTGTCATGCATATTGATAATAGGTTAAGACTCAGAGAAGTCACCAGAAGCAAGACCAGACGTACGGCTATGTCCCTAGCACCTCAATTCTCTAAACCTGTTTTGTCTAACCTCCCTGTACAGTCCGAACCCGAACCTATGCAGTTGGGGGTCACTAGACTGTCAGAGGCCGAAAAACAGTATAGGAGAAGGGAGGGGTTATGCCTATATTGCGGTAGAAAGGGACATATGATAACTAATTGTCCAGTGCGTCCGGAAAACTTCTGCACCTAAGAACCTTAAGGGGACAGATCTTAGGTGTGATGGAGTTGTCCTCTAACAAAAACAAAAGTAGATTCCTCCTTGAGGTATCTATTTCCCTTGATAACAAGAAGTTTTCTTGCAGTGCCCTAATGGACTCAGGTGCTGCTGGAAATTTTATTGATGTCCAGTTTATTAGGGGTCAGGGAGAGACCTACGCCGCTAGCTGTAGAGGCTATTGATGGTAGACCACTCACACAACTGCTTATAACCCACAAAACTGTCCCTATTACGATCTCCATTGGGGCCTCTCATAGGGAGGAGATGACGTTTCAGGTTATTACTTCTCCATCATGTCCTATCATATTAGGGTTTCCGTGGCTGAGTAAGCACAATCCCTATATTGACTGGGCTAATGGGGAGATATTAGAATGGGGTAAAGAGTGTATGGGGAGATGTATAAAACCAGTACTAAAGAGATTGGATACTATTGGCCTTCCCACTACCACTCCCCAAACTCCTGGAGTTCCCATACAATACCGAGAACTTCAGGAGGTGTTTAACAAGGCTCAATCTGATGTATTGCCTCCCCACAGAGCATATGACTATGCCATTAACCTGTTTCCAGGCGCTATGCCACCTAAGGGGGCAGTTTATGCCTTATCTCCCCAGGAGAGTAAAATAATGGAGGAATACATCAAAGAATCCTTGAGCAAAGGGCACATAAGAAAGTCATCCTCACCAGCTGGTGCAGGATTCTTTTTTGTTGAGAAAAAGGGTGGTGAGTTACGCCCTTGCATAGACTACAGGGCACTTAATAAAATCACTGTAAAAAATGCATACCCTATCCCACTCATTTCCGAATTGTTCGATAGACTTCAGGGAGCTAAAGTATTTACTAAGCTTGACCTTAGGAGCGCTTACAATTTGGTTAGAATTAAAGAGAATCATGAGTGGAAGACGGCATTTAATACCCGTAGTGGACATTATGAATATCTGCTAATGCCATTTGGGTTATGCAACGCCCCGGCCGTATTCCAAGACTTTATAAATGATGTACTCAGGGAATTCATTTACTCATTTGTCTTGGTTTATTTGGACGATATTTTGGTGTATTCCCCTGATCTTCAGACTCACCACTCCCATGTGAAACAGGTTCTGCAGACGTTGTTGAAAAATAAACTTTATTGTAAATTAGAAAAGTGCATATTTGACCAGCCTGAAGTCCACTTTTTGGGTTACAACATCTCTGCATCGGGATTTCAAATGGATCCTAAAAAACTAGAGGCTGTACTACACTTGCCATTACCCTCTGGTTTAAAAGCCATTCAAAGGTTTATTGGTTTTGCCAACTATTACAGAAGATTCATCAAGGGATTTTCTTCTGTAATAGCCCCAATCACAAATATGACTCGCAAAGGGGTTAGTAGCACGGTATGGTCCAAAGAGGCTGTGAATGCTTTTGAGACTCTTAAACAAAGATTTGCCTCTGCGGACATACTAAAACATCCCGACACTAGTAAACCTTCTATATTGGAGGTTGATGCATCCTAGACAGGGGTAGGGGCTGTTCTCTCTTAGAGAGAAAGCCAGGGAACACCATTGCATCCTTGTGGCTACTTCTCCAGAAAGATGTCTCCTGCTGAGCGCAACTATGATATTGGCAATAGAGAACTGTTGGCCATTATTCTTGCCCTCAAGGAGTGGCGACATCTTTTGGAGGGTTCCAAGGACCCCTGTTCCCCTGTTGATCATAACCGACCACAAAAATCTGGCATATATAGGGGATGCCAAACGTTTGTCTTCCAGACAGGCTAGATGGTCACTGTTCCTTTCACGTTTTAACTTCCTCATTACTTATAGACCTGGTTCTAAAAATACCAAGGCTGTCCAGGCAATTTGATAATGAGTCAGCTCCGAACAGGTGACATCTATTATTCCACCAGAGTGTATTATTGCCACTACTGTCCTCTCACTGTCTTCTCCACTGCTTGGCACCATACTGGAGGCCCAGCCTCAGGAGCCCAGTGGTAAACCGTGTGATAAACTGTTCATTCCCCTATGTGAAAGGGTTAATATCATGAAAGTGTTCCATGATAATATAACTGCTGGACACCCGGGCATCAATAAGTCCACTGCCGCGATCACTAGATCATTTTGGTGGGATTCACTCAGGAAAGATGTAAAGGAGTATGTGCAGGCATGTTCTGTGTGTGCAGTTTCTAAGGTGACTCATGCACTTCCTTGTGGCCTGTTGCAGCCTCTTCCTGTTCCTGAGATTCCATGGTCCCACTTATCCATGGACTTTATTGTTGAGCTTCCTAGCTCTGCTGGGTTCACTACTATTCTCATAGTTGTAGACCGATTTTCTAAGATGGCTCACTTCATTCCTCTCAAGAAGTTGCCATCTTCGCAAGATTTGGTCCTAATTTTCATACGTGAAATTGTCCGTTTGCATGGCATCCCCACAATATTGTGTCTGATAGGGGCTCTCAGTTTGTGTCCAGGTTCTGGAGGGCGTTCAGTAAACAATTGGGGATTGATCTCTCCTTCTCCTCCTCCTACCATCCACAGCTGAGAGGGCTAACCAGTCATTAGAAGTTTATTTGCGTTGTTTTATTAATAGCACACAAGACAATTGGTCCGAACTACTCCCGTGGGCCGAGTTCGCTAGAAACAATGCTGTTCATGACTTCTCTGGGCACAGTCCACAGTCCTACGGTTCTCCCTGCGGTATTTTCTGATACTGCCATTCCTGCTCTGGATGAGCGTCTGGCCTCCATTTGGGATACCTGGGTTAAGGTTCAAACTGCTCTAGGGGCTGCTGCTGAACACTTCAAACATTTTGCTGATAAGCGTAGGAGTGCCAACCCGGTGTACCAAGTGGGGGACCGGGTTTGGTTGTCATCTCGCAACATCAAGCTTAAGGTCCCTAGCATGAAGTTTGCCCCCAGATTACTTGGTCCCTATAGAGTGCTTCGTAGGATCAATCCAGTGTCTTACTCTCTGGCTCTTCCTGCATCTTTAGGGATTCCCAACACTTTTCATGTGTCCTTACTCAAACCTCTTGTCTGCAATAGATATACTGTTCCTTGTGTTCCTCCCCCTCCGGTGGTGGTGGGTGGTCAGGAAGAGTATGAGGTATCTTCTATCGTGGATTCTAGGTTTTCTCGGGGCACTTTACAGTACTTGGTTGTTTGAAAAGGTTACGGTCCTGCTGATCGTTCTTTGGTTTCGGCTCCTGACCTGCATGCGGGCTGTAAGATCCGCGCTTTTCACGCTAAATTTACTCTCAAGCCTGGTCCTGTCTGCCCGGTGGGCGTTCTTCAGGTGGGGGGTAATGTCACGTATTCATCCGCTTATAGAAATGTGGTTAATGACATTTACTGTCCACACAGGAAAAGTTGTGCCGAGCAGCAACCTAATCCACAGAAGGTTTAATGCTGAGCAGTAATTGTGCAAATGAAACCTGGTGTCATGTATTCATCCGCTTATAGAAAAGTGGTTAATGACATTTACTGTCCACACAGGAAAAGTTGTGCCGAGCAGCAACCTAATCCACAGAAGGGTTAATGCTGAGCAGCAATTATGCAAATGAAACCTGGTAACTGACTTTGGGGTCAAAGGCCGGTTACAGCCTATCAGAAAGAAAGGAGGGGTATTTAGGCCCAGTTCTCAGCCTGCTCAGTGCCCTGTCGTGGTTTCCCTTGTGGTTGTCCGAGAGCGCGTTCCTGTTTATAGTTTTCTACCTGGTTTTTGACTTTGGCTTTGTTTATTGACTTCTCTATATTCTGGTATCCTGACTCCTGGCTTTCCTCATCGCTGTGTCCCTTTCTGTGTTCCCTGACCTCGGCTAGTATTTTTGACTATTCTTTGTACGTTAAATCCGGCCATTTTAAGGACCGGTAATACGTTACTTATTTGTCATCCGTGCTGTACAGTTCTACGTGCTGGATCAAACAGTAATCCTGACAGCTCCCCATACCACCCTTAGACCAACGGCCTCTGTGAGCGTTTCAACGGTACGCTCAAGCAAATGTTGAAAACGTTCACAGATGAATACCGTGACTGGGAACAGTTCCTGCCTCACCTCCTATTCGCATACAGAGAGGTGCCGCAGGAATCCATGGGGTTCTCTCTTTTTGAGCTACTATATGGGCGAAGGGTGCGAGGCCCCCTGGACCTCATTAGGGAGCAATGGAAGGGAACCACCGAACAAGAGGGAGCCCCCATCGTATCATATGTGGTACAGCTCCAGGACCGCATGGAACAGCTAGCACGGATGGTTAAAGAAAACCTCCAAGCGGCCCAGGAGCGGCAGAAGGTATGGTACGATTGGGGTGCTCGCCAGTGTACGTTTCAAGTGGGACAGAAGGTCCTAGTGCTGAAACCGACCAAAAGTGATAAGTTACAAGCAGCCTGGAAGGGCCCTTACACGGTGAGAATGAGAGGATACGCAAAGCATTCCACATTAATATGCTCAAAGCCTATCAAGAAAGGCCAGAGGACATAACTGTTATCTGCGCCCCAACCAGTGACGACCCAGACAGCTTACCGCTACCTGATCTCTTGAGTAGACATCCCCAGACTAATCCACTTAGTCAGATAAAGCTAGGGGACCGACTGACGGCCACTGAGAGGGAACAGATACACTGCTTAATAGTGAGTAAAATCCACACGTTCTCCCAAGAACCAGGGTTCACCACACTAGCCACCCATAGGGTGGAAACCCCTAGGACAGGCTCCGCTTAGGCAACCCCCATACCGGATAACTGACGCCGTCAGAGCCGGTATGAGGGAAGAGATCCAGGAAATGTAGTGGTTAAGAGTCATTGAGCCTTCCGATAGTCCCTGGGCATCGCCAGTAGTCCTAGTACC